AGAAGTAAAAATGTGTTTTTACTTCTCTAACCAGTTATAAGGTATCGATTAGAAATGCCCGGCCGTACAGAGGGAATACGATTGTGGCTTCTGAATTACAAAATATATTGTTACAGTTTGATATCGATACTATGTACTAGAAGACGAGTGTGGCGTTTCGATGCCCAGACTCATCTGCATCTCGTCAGAAAAAAATCAAAATAAATACTAAAAAAGTTTCAAATATTTTGTGTGTGGTAGATAATTTGATGCATGAGGTTCGCTCAAATTTTTAGGCCATTTGGAAATCTGAGTAGCTCTCAGCAAAAAAGATAAATTGGGTCAGAACAATGCGTAAATAGTAAACATTTTTATAGACCTCAAAATTTTCCTTTTTATCGAGAGCCGCTCAGATGTTTAAATGATTTGAAAATTGTAGCGAGCCTCACGCATCAAATTATCTACCACACAACCACACAAAAAAATGATTTTTTTATTTTTTCTAGTATATTTGTTTTGATTTTTTTCGTCGGGGCGGGTGTAGCTGAGCCTGGGCTCAAAAGTGAATTACCCCTGGAAGACTTGATATATTTTTGCACTAATACCGACATTGTCTTGTCAAATCCTGGCTTTGGTGTCCCTATGCACTATCACCTTTGCAGCCACCCAACCAATGGTTGGCATTTCAAAAATAAATATGAACAATAAGCTACCGGACCGAGATACTGTTGGTGTAAAGGTGACATATGGTGTATAGCACTTCTGCTAGCTGACCTAGGTTATGATGTCTCTTTTTATATGAAGAGCAAACATTGGTGGAAGCCCATATTTGTCAAAGTTGACATGCAACATGGGGTCGCTATAGCCCACAGCGTGTCATGGCACATTTGGCGCTTCAATTTTCGTATAAATATTGAAGGGGGATATTGACTTAAAGCACCCGTCGGTCACTGGCACATCAGACATGGCGCCCACTACTGAAATTGCACTTCTTCGGATCCATCAACATAGCCGGCGATCTATGCGCCTGGTCCCAATGAAGAACTTAATTGTGCTTTGCAGAGCATGTAGTTTTTCCCTGGTGAGCTTGTCAGAATTGTGCGCTCAAGGAGGGTCGTCGCCGGAGAAGAGGAGAGGATGCCATCTAGATACATGCTCAGATATCATGCAAACATGTGCGAAGAGACGAGGACTATGTGGTGAGGCGTGTCCACCAGGTAGGGGCCACTCTGTTTATACCGGTCATTGTCAAGCAATATTACTTTGAGTACCAAGTCTAGGGTTTAACCGGATAACAGATAACACTTATCAGCACATTATTGCCATTTCAAATTGCACATTAGCAAACTCTAGCATAAATATTATATTAAAGTTGTGTGGAAATAATTCGTTAAAGAGCGCTAGAAAGTCGTAGGTAAGTGTGGTAGGGATAGCTTTCAGATAGAAAGCTGCCGCTCCATTTTTAAATTTTATTTTTGAAACTTGCTGCTCATTTTTCTTAGTGACGCGAGGGAGATAGGAAGCTACTGCCTTGCTTGCCTTCGTTTTGTAGGAGCACAGCTTTAACTATTGAAACGGCGCTTTTTATTGAGGTGGGACGGGGTTTGCGGTTGACCTTGTTATCGTGGAAAACATTCAAAATAATTTGAATTCAGAATTTTTCATCTAGAAGTAATTGACCCTGAACTTGAAAACAAAGAAACAAAACGGTCAGGGGAATCTATTCCGTAACCCGGGCTAGGAAACTCGGTAACAAAATAGTGAAAGAATTTATTGCCCGATAACCCAACCTCATGACATTTCTAAACCGATTCCCTAAAAATAAAAATGGGGATCCGACGGAGTAAACCCTTAGTGGAGTATTTTTTACTTCACTAAGTTTTGACCAGATCTAGCCGATCCCGTACATATAACAAAGTAAATTTTTTATTTTTTTTAAACTTATGCAATTCTAGTATACATTGCAACTACATATTAGCACACATATAGACTAAACATAAATAAGAATGTTCAAGAAAATCACGAATATAGTTTACAAACCGAATTTAAAGCTTACAAATTGAATTATTCAAATTTAAACACACCGGATGGTCCAAATGGTGCAAATAACATGAGATAGAACAACTTGGAAGCGCTATGAAGTTGCCAATGATGCTCAATAAGATCATCTTGGTGCTAAGCATGAACTTGTCGGATCTCTATCCTGCGATGCTCTTCAAGGAATGCCGGGATTCTATTTGTATCATCTCGTGGCTCAACTGGAGTCCCGTTGGTGATGTATCGAAAGTTCTCGCATATCTCTCTCATCTTCAATGATCATGTTATGCAATATGATGCAACAAGTCACGATCTGCCATAGAACCTTGGAGCTCCAGTACTCGGCAGGGCCGCGAACAATTGCAAAGCACTTCTGAAGCACATCGAAGGCTCTCTCCACATCTTTCCTAGCAGCTCCTTGACATTGGGCAAAGTGAATATTTTTGTTCCCTTTTGGCTGCGGAATTGTTTTGACTAACGTGGTCCATGATGGATAGATGCCACCCGCAAGGTAGTAACCAATCAAGTAGTTGTGCCCATTAATTGAGTAGTTGCAAGCAGGAGCATCTTCTATAATAAGCCTAGAAAACAGTGGTGACCTCGACAACACATTTAAGTCATTATGAGAGCCAGGCAAACCAAAAAATGAATGCCATATCCAATGATCCTTCATTGCAACTGCCTAAAGAATGGCCTTTGTACTGACCTTTCATCCTGCAGGACAGTTCTTCCATGTCCAGTGCATATAGTCAAGTGATCCAAGCATCTCTGGCCAGCCACTTGCTTCACTCTCTGTCATCATCCTCTGAGTGTCTTCCTTGTTGGGTGCTCTGAAGTACTTAGATCCAAAAACATCAATCACTGCTTTAGTAAACCTTCGAACGGCCTCCAAGACCGTGTCTTCACCAACGCGGACATAGTCGTCAACAACATCGGCCGAACACCCATATGCCAAGACTCGAACAGCCGTTCATCAGCGCGCTTGCACTAATCTCTCCGCATGCATTTCTCCGAAGCTTGAACCAGTCATCATACTTACCAATGACTTTTGCAATGGTCAGAAAAAGACTTGTGTGCACCTGAAAACGCCAGCGAAAATACTTCTCCGGATAAATTGGATGTGGAGCAAAGTAGTCTCCCATGATCTTTGCATGCCGCTCCACTCTATCACAGTTGATGTGTATGCAGCCAAACAACGATTCTCTCCTAGGCGGCCGAACATCATCGTTGCAAACCATGCCTAAAACGGTTTCGAAGTCTTCGTCGTCTTCTTCCTCTTTGGGTGACGACGAGTCCACGAAGACCATCTCCCTCAACCTCTTCATCTACAATTCAAACGGCTTGGTTCAATCCAAACGGCTCGGTTCAAAAAGAAACAAACGAAAAAACTCACCAAGGAAATCCGTGGAACACTTGCATGCGGTGGTGATGCACCGGCCACCCGCCGTCGTTTCGGCCAAATCGGCGGACGGCGAAGCATGGGAGTGACTTGCAGCGACGCACAAGCAAGGCCAGGTGCGGCGACAACCAAAAAGGAAGAAGATTCGAAGCGATCCGACAAATCGGCTACAATGACAACGACAGTGTTTCACCTTGATTCTGGCGACGACGACGGGGGCCAAACGGGCTCTGCGTCGGGTATAAGCATGGCGAGGGCCAAGGGAGGCAACGAGGTAGCGATGGGGCCGATGGATGGTTGCTGGGAGGTGTGCCGGCGAAGAGGCAATGGCGGGGGCGAGGCAAGAGAAAGGCTCAACTTTTACTCCGAACGATAGTGGCCGAGTAAATTTAGGCACAGGATAGAGGCCGAAGGATAATTTTTCCTTCACTAACTGTTTTAGGGGATCGGCTAAGTGCCGGTTATAGTAAAACCGACTTTTACAACTCTAAAGCCGGACAGAAAATCAGTTAGAAATGCCCTTACTCATTACTCATGTCTCCGGGAGTCTTTACAGAATTACTCCCTCCGGCCCATAATATAAGATTCAAGTTGCAAAACAATCTTATATATTATGAGAGGATGGAGTCTGGGATTCTTTACAGAATTACTCCCTCCGTCCTATAATATAAGATTCAGCTTGCAAAACGATCTTATATTAGAAGAGGAGGGACTAGACTGCAGTAGAGACGACGTTGCCGGGAACCCCCAACAGGTAGAGTTACTCTGTCTTAGAGACGACGTTGCCGGGAATCCACCAAACCGATCTGAAATACTCTACCGCACCAATGCAGCGCGGAAACATTTGATTGAGAACTGTTGGAAAGTGACGACAGTGAGCTTAGCTTAGTTTATACTCCAGTTTGGAGATACGAATCTGCTGCCGCATTCGTCTCCCTCCTCGAGGAGAGGAGAGTAGAAGTCTCCCTCACTCAGGTCTCTCTCACTCTCTGTTAATTTGTTGGAGAATAATGTAGGAGTATATCCTTTGCCTCGATAGGCTTTGTTTCTCTCAAGGAAACGGAGCAAACTTGAGCTTCGCTCGGCACAGACAGAACTATGCTTGCATATTTACGAGACCTCAAAGTCCAAGCAAGAGATCACAGTCTGAGCACACGATGCTAGTCCATTAGTAGAAGGAACCCCCTTGCTTATACGGCAGCACATTTGCCCAATCAGTTGAGCTCAGGACAACATGGAAATGAATAAAAAGTCAGCTTGCTCTCCTGTTATCCGTAGACTTGTTCATCGCCCGCGTCGCCGACCAAATTAATATTACGCGCTGCTTGCAAGAAACGGGCAGTGATGCCTGGATTGTGTCGTGGAGTCAACCTCAATCAAATGGACAAACGTGCAGACAATTACAACATTTTTTTTGCTTATCCGGACTGAGTTTTCCTTTCTTTTTTGTTTTCTCACGTCATTCTACGCTACACTTGCTTCTATATAGCCAAGCTATTGGTACGCCGGTGTACACAGAGTTCTCCTCAGGAACTTCCTAAGAATACTTCACAAATAGTCTTGAGAATACTGCATCGAGTGTCAAATGGAAGCAGCAGATGAGGAGAGGCCACTGCTGAACCGCCATCGCCGGCCTGCACAGACACAGGTGATCCTCCGTGCTGTATAATGCTAAAATTTTGAATTTCCATATGTGATGCATAGCATGTGGACCGCATTGGTGTTCAGGACGAAAGCTCAAGTTATACAAGTGATGGAACGGTTGATATCTACAGACAGCCTGCTCTCAAGCAGAGCACTGGCAACTGGAGAGCATGCTTCTTCATTCTAGGTACTGCAGAAAGCTTACTAAGAGCATGTGCTTCAGGCTCTACATTTTCCCTACAGAAGTAATAACGTGTTATGCCTTGGACGTAAATCAGGCGCCGAATTCAGCGAATGCATGTGCTTCTTCGCCGTCGCCAAGAACTTGGTCACCTACCTTACGACGGTGCTCCATGAGAGCAACGTCGACGCTGCGAGGAACGTGTCGACTTGGATCGGCAGCTGCTTCCTCACGCCGGTCATCGGAGCCTTCTTGGCCGACTCTTACTGGGGAAGATACACCACAATTGCAGTTTTCCTGTCGGTTTACATCGTTGTAAGCGAGACAACGTTTCTGAATTTACTGTAAAATGGTGTGCCGCATTTCTGCAAATTTTCATTGACCATGTGCAATATCTCTGAAAATTTGTCTTGTGCCAGGGGATGCTCATCGTGACATCATCGGCGGCGCTTCCGTTTCTCCTTCCTCGTTCCTCCGACGAGAGTGGTGGTGTCCATCCTGCCGCCGTATACCTGGGGCTCTACCTTGTCGCCCTCGGCACAGGTGGAATCAAGCCCTGTGCCGCGGCCTTGGGCGCCGATCAGTTCGACGGCGCCGACCCAATGGAGCGGGTGGCCAAGGGCTCCTTCTTCAACTGGTACTACTTCTCGATCAACATTGGCTCGCTGCTGGCGGCGACATTGCTCGTATGGGTGCAGGACAACATTGGATGGACCGTCGGGTTCGGGATCCCGACTGTCCTCATAGGATTCGGCCTAGCCGTGTTCGTCGCCGGGGGGAGGATTTACAGGTACACGCCACTAGGACGGGGAGGTAGCCCATTGGCGAGGGTCTTCCAGGTGGTTGTGGCAGCCACGAGGAATTGTCGTCTCGAGCTGCCCGATGATTCCTCGGCCCTGCACGAAAATGACAGAGCTGAGCGTACCGGTCAATTCACGTTCTTTGACAAGGCTGCGATCGTGCTGCCGTCGTCGGAGAAGAAGGGCCCGTGGCGGCTCTGCACGGTGTCGCAGGTGGAGGAGCTGAAGACGCTGCTGCGGATGTCCCCCGTCTGGGCGTCGCTGCTCATCTTCTTTGCGGTCACCGCACAGATGTCGTCCACGCTTATCGAGCAGGGCATGGCAATGGACAAGCGCGTCGGCGCCTTTGTTGTGCCGCCTGCGTCCCTGTCTACCTTCGACGTCATCAGCGTCCTCGTCTGGGTTCCTATTTATGACGCCGTCCTGGTGCCGCTCGCCCGGCGTGTCACCGGCGAGGACAGGGGCTTCACGCAGCTCCAGCGCATTGGCGTCGGCCTAGCACTCTCCGCGGCCGGTATGGCTTACGCTGCGTTGATTGAGACGAGGCGGCTGGCGGCGCCGGCGACCTCGATGAGCATCATGTGGCAGGCGCCGTGCTACTTCGTGCTGGGCGCGGCCGAGGTGTTCGCCAGCATCGGCATGCTCGAGTTCTTCTACGACCAGTCCCCGGGGTCCATGAAGAGCCTCGGCGCGGCGCTCGCGCTGCTCGCCATCGCTGGCGGTAACTACCTCAACTCTGTCCTACTCGGCGCTGTCGCGTCGACCACCGGGTGGATCGCGGACAATCTCGACCAAGGCCACCTTGACTACTTCTTCTGGTTCATGGCCGCTCTCAGCGTGCTCAACCTGTTGCAGTTCGTCTACTGCTCGACCAGATACAAAAGCATAGATCAGCATTAGTATAGCAGTCAATTGTAAATGTTCTTAATTTGAAAATCTTTCATCGATCGTACTTGAACAAGAATATTGTTCCCGTTTAGCTTCTTGGCGACGTATGAAGTTTTTTTTTTTTGAAAGATCGGCGACGTATCAAGTGAAAATGGATTTCAGTGCAAACTTCAAATATTTTGCTTCTAGATGCTGGACTCTAGATGGTCCACAGTGATTTTGTTAGAATAAATCCGAGACATATCGTCGATCATCCGAGGACGACACCGAGATTTGTTAACGAGATTCACCGATATGGCTACATCTCCGAGGCCTGACTACATGCGCTCCTTCCCGTGACACCGTCACAATACCGCACACCGGCCACCCGGGCGCCGGCACATGTCATCAGCTCCCCCTTGCGTGCCTGTGCTATTATGTTGGCATTGATTACATCGTGTGTCTAGCCCCGCTATATATGAGAGGCCTAGGATATAAGTGTCCTATTAGGACACGACTCCATATCCTATCTAAACACAAAACAAGTCCAACTGTAACCTACCTTATACATAATATTCGACACAACTCTAATAAACTCCACCTTGGTGAATATTCTCCACCACTTTGAGTTCGTCAATGCATCAAACTTCCATGTACATTGGACTTGAACTTATCCCATGAGCACCGCTGCTACTCCAAAGACTCCATATGACTCCACCTACAACTTGTAGTCCTTTCTTTTCTTGACCACAATCAATGCTCGAGCAAAATTAGGTTTCTCTTTACTCTAGTCTGTGCTCCCAACTTCCAGAGTATCCGTCCAACGCCATCACACACTGATCACTGACCTGCGTGAAAGTGAACAACTCACATATTAGATGTCACACGTAAGAATTACCTGAACTCAACATCACCGCTCCTTTCTCGACCGCTTGTCTGAAACTTTTAGGAATTTCACCGTTGCTTGTAGTCATCCCGAGTCAAATTCGCAGTTGTCTCACCACATGTATGACCACCAGAGCCCTGGTCCGTCTCCATGTCCCGTGCATACCGCACGCCTCGCCGCTATTACCTCGTCGAGCCTCCGCTGTCCCGGTCGAGTCTCAAGGGTTGCGAAACCACACCACTCAACCCCCACTGTAGAGTACCACCGATCATCAACGACCGATGACGAGTTTCACGCTTTCATCAGACCACTGGGCTCCAGGCCGAATTGCGTGTCACTCGCTTTCCCCCCTTGCTGAATAGGCTTCGATTCTCTGGATCCTTACACCGTAGCCTCTCAATCCAGCTCCACCTTCAACATGACTCCATGATAGATGATCAGTCCACCCTCGCGCCCCGTCGACTTCAAACTCTGTGTGTACATCACCTTGAATCAACCCCGCGCCATAGTCTTGTCGAAGTCACACGAGCCCTCAGGCCCGCGCCACGTGTTTCCACGCCCCAGAAGTCGGTCACCATCAGCATCACGCTCCTATGTCGTTGTCGCCGATCCCACCATCGTCTTCTGTACCAACCGACTTGCGTCGATCCGTCAGACTATCCAGTCCAACCCAGCCGAACTTGTCCGACTACATGACACGCTCGAGACTCCCAAATCGTCTTCCAAGAATTTCCATCCATCACATGATAATTCCATCTTAGCTGACATGACTTCCTGCAACCCCTTCAAGCATCCCCAATGTGCCAGCAAATCTTCCACCATTGTCTGCCATAACCCAAGGTTTTCAGTTCCGTGAACTTCTCCACCTCAATCCCGATGCCCGATGGCGTCATGATTCTTCGTACAACTGACCTTGTGAAAAATAACCGAGCTTCCACCGCAATGCCCCAAGTACACAAGCAAAACCTCAAGAGGTACAACCCCGTGTACTAATAGCAAAATCCAACCAAATTTGGTCTTTCACGTGATATGCTCCTGGCTCAATCTCCAATGCTCTCTGTTGCTTTGTCAATGTCCCTGCTAGCTTCAATGGATACGTATCGCTTTATGGTTTTCCTTTTTGCTCAAAACGATCTGTTGCATTGCGTCGCATACATGAGGACTCGGTCCTCTTTTCTTCAAAAAAAATCACGTATCTAACTGCTCTTTCCTGCTTGTACACCACCGGACTCACCGCATGATCCTTGACTCGCCGCATGCATCCTTGGGGCTTCCGCTGGCTGGGCCGCTGCCCACGCACCCGCCTTTGGGCCTCCGCAGCCAGTGCCCGATCGACCGATCGACCTGCTGCCCTGCCTGCCTGCCCGACGCGCCGCCGCTGCTTATTGTACGCTCGCCCGATTGACCTATGCGAGATCTTTCGCCGCACGTACGTCTAGCCTGCTTGCAAGTCCGATCCGATCTCTGCGGGTTGCCGTGCGCCTTGACGTCTTTCGATCGAATCTCAACCGTTCTCATTACGATATCGATCGAAACATCAAATCTTCCTCTAAATCGAATCAACGCCTCCGCAAACTTTCGTTCTTCAACCATAGCTCTGATACCACTTGTTAGAATAAATCCAAGGCATAACGTCGATCATCCGAGAACGACACCGAGATTTGTTAACGAGGTTCACCGATATGGCTACATCGCGGGGCCTGACTACGGGCGCTCCTCCCCGTGACACCGTCACAATACCGCACACCGGCCACCCGGGTGCCAGCACACGTCGCCGGCTCCCTCTTGCGTGCCTGTGTTATTATGTTGGCATAGGTTACATGGTGTGTCTAGCTCCGCTATATATGAGAGGCCTAGGATACAAGTGTCCTATTAGGACACAACTCCATATCCTATCTAAACACAATACAACTACAAGTCCAACTGTAACCTACCTTATACACAATATTCGACACAACTCAGATTTATCTTCAAACGGAAATACCATCGGCTTCTACATTGAGAGATGCATAGAACCAAATCTTATCTATATTAATAAAAAATGCCGAGTAAATCAGCTTGCACAATACAAAGATAAAATAAATTCTAAGATATGCCTCGTCACAACATCTTCAAATCGTACCGCTAAACCTATGACAACATATTAGCAGACAAAAGGACGCGGCGCTTCAAGACAACGCCTATAAGAAAAATCATCATGTCTTCTTGACTTCCCCCTGCTCTCGCGTCACCCCTCTCGGGCGACACGAGAGCGGCCCCAAACCCTAGCCACCATCACCTCTCCTCTCTCCTTCCCCCTCCCCGCCGCCACCCAAGGAGGCCGCGGGCTGCCGCGTCTTCCAGTGAAGGTGGCGGCGCGGATTTGCTGCCTCGCGCTGGTGTGAGGGGCTCTAGAAGCTAGGACAATGGCCTTGGGTGGAGATGGTGGCATCGATCTCCCCCGTGGATGGCGCGCGCGGGTACTGGCCGTCCCTCACGGCTGCATGGGAGGCGTGAGAGCGGTGAGGTATTGTTGCTGCGGCAGGTGTCTCTTCTTCCTCCCGGCCCCTTCCCCTCGCGGTGGTCTCCTCTCGCCGATTTGGTAGCTCGCCAGTCAGATCTGGCCGGCGAGGATGGGGTGGTGGAGCCTTGGAACTGGGGAAACCCTTGTCCGATTTCGCGCTGACCTCGACGCCGGTGGTGCTCCGGTGCCGTTCTCCCTCTTAAGGGCGGGTCGAGCTTCCAGGTCCGCCCCCTCCTCCCCATACGTCTCCGGCCGAAAGTCTTGGCATTTTGGCTGGACGACAGAGGCGTTCTGGCGTCTTGGTCCTGGTGCGTGGTGGTTGGTGGCGGCGGCGGTGCTCGGTTCCCCTGGTTGCCGGCGTTGGAGGTAGTGTGCGGGTCCTTCCACATCTTTTAATGGCTCCTCGCCTTGTCTGCTGGTTGGTCGCCAGCCGGTGGTGGTCATCCGCGAGTATGGCATGGTCCGGACGAAGGGGAGATAGTGGTCTCCCCTCTGGCAGTGGCCCCAGGTGGCGGGCGGCGGAGTCGGCGTCTTCCTTCAAGCAGTCTGGATCTTCATGTCCACGACAATTGTTGTCATCGGGTGGCTTTGGTTCTGTCATTTTGGCTGCACGATATCTCCGACGGCTTGATCGTTGTTTCTGCTGGTTCTCTGTTTGCTGCTGCCACTGGTCGTACTGACATGTGCATGTTTTATTTCAGTTTTTGGTCAAGTCTTTGCCTATGTAATCCAGCACCATTGTATCCTAGCCGGTTGATGGCTTCATTAATTTTGAAATCGGCCCTTCATGCCTTTCTCTAAAAAATAAGAAGGAATCATCGTCGCGCGCCTATGCCGGGTGGTCCAACCAAATGCCAAACCAAGGGATATCACCCTGAAGTTCGAACCAACACCTTTAACAAAGTAACAAAGTGCAGTCGTCGACGTCGACGTTACCCAGTCGACGCCACCCAATCAAGTCAGAGGAAAGATCATGTGTTTACACCCAAAGAGAATGTTTGCCGCCATGGTTACGGTCCACCACCCTACTTGCGTGCTCACACAAACTAGCTGGCCAGAGAAACGCCATCACATCACTTCTGACTACTGCCGCACCACCGTCCCGCGAATGGTTGACGTATGTGTCACGGACGCCGAGCAGCCATCATCTAGAAGCCAATGTTGGCGCTGACATGCGGAGACATAATTTTTTTTGAGAAACTTTCAATCTATTCATCTTCAATCATTGCAGTACAATGAACACCAAAAATAATGAGAAAAGCTAGGAGAGAAAAAGGTGGCGATCTAGGGTTGCAGCGTCGTCGCCGTCGGCGACGGCTGCTGCTGCTGTTGGCTTTACAAGAGTGTCCGTCGAGTGCGACGGCTGTTCTGAGCCGCCGAGAAGAATCGATCCAGTTGATGCTAGCCCAAGTCAAGCTCACGTGTATGTGCATGCGCCGTTTGGAAATTCAATCCAGCTGCCTGCTAGCTTTGCTGGCTTTGCATGTATGGTGATGTGCCCGGGTGAATCAATCTAGCCAGCGTGAAGCCTGTTTGAGGTCCTGACGAGGGGCTTTCTCTACAGACTTGTCGTCCCCTAGCAAAAGAAGCTAAGGTTTGCTGTCCTCCAACGGTTCTTCCCTCGAGATTTTTTTATTTGACATT